GTTTTTTTGTAATCAAGATCCATAGGCAACAGGCCCAGAGATTCAGATTCCATAGATCTGGGGTAGAAAGCATAAGGCCAAATCACCTCTTAGGGCTCTGGGCACTTGAATAGTCTGTGAGTTTGATAATTTCATTTCTATTCCTTGGTTTTCTTTTTAGCTGGAACTCTTTTAGGAATGACAATATTCTAAATATTTGGATAATAGTAGACTCATTTAGAGCCTTAAACTGAACTTGCATAAATCACAATATTGCATAAATCACAAATTAACTAGTGGAAGTATGCAATTGATTATTAGCTGGGAGGGCCAAAATGAGGCATGAGGAGAAAATGCTGTATAATTTGAGAAAAAAATTAAAAAATATTTTTATATTTGGAAGTTATATTTGAAAAATTAAACACGTCTTTTCTTATAACAACTTCAAAATAAAATACAAAATTTTTTTTGTGTCTGACACGGTATGCCAGAAATAGAATTTATTTTCTGCGTACACAAAGCTCAGGGTAGGCGTGAAAGGAATGATGTCATGAGATTTTCAGGGTTATCCAAAGGGGTCATGGGTTTAAAAAGGTTGGAAAGCACTGCAGTAGTGAGATAGATTGGTTTCTGAAGAAAAGTGAGAAAATAAAACCATTACGTCCAACTGTCACTCTTCCAACTGAATATTGAAACCACTTGGGAAAAAACTTTAGTGAGGTTTACAGTCATAAGCAACTTTGGTATTTTTGAGGTTTGCCTGTGAATTGCCATTTAGCTGTACTGCATACTTCCTAGATATGTGATTAGTTGCCATACATTAAAACTTTCAAAAATGTTAAGTTGCTTGTTACACTCGTCTAACTTATTAAAAGGTTTTTGTTCATTTGGATTAGTGGATTTGTGTGTTTTGTTACGGTTTGTGGACAGAGGATGCAGAGACTGGGATTTCTGTTCTACTTACACAATAATGTGGTGTATTAACTGGAACAGGTCACTTAGTATTTTATCTTTAAGTCTTTGTATATCATACATTGCATGCAAGGGTGATTTGGCTCAAAATTTGTCACCCGTGGACTGCCAGGTTCATTTGACTGAATGATTTGGCCAGCTAGGTAAGTGTCTTCCTCCTCCTTCCCTCTTTATATTGTTGATGAATAAGGACACATAATCAAAAGTGATGTTGTTTGTTAGTTTAGCAATGGCAGTAACAGTAGTAGTCTTACTCCAGAAGATGTCTTAATGCAAGAGGTGAAACTGATTAAAGAGACTAGAATATTAATATTAAAAGCAATGGAGCTAGAGACAAGAAAGCTGATTTTGTGTCCTGGCACTCCCAGTCCTACAGACTTGGTTATGACAGGTTAAGATTTCTAAGTCTTAGTTTCTTTTGGTTTGTAAAATTGAGATTAATAGCGATTAGATAAAATTGTTTGCAGAACTAGAGGAAATAATATTTTCAAAGACTGAGCTCCATGCTTGGCATTTTTTCCTAAAGATAATTGCAACACTGGATATTTTTAAGTAAAAGGATGATATGATTAGATTTATGTTTTAGAAAGTGCGGAGGATGACTTGGAGGCACATAAAACTGGAAAACAAGAGATTTTAAGCAGGTGAAAAACTTATAATGATATAGCTGAAAATTATACAGTCTAAAATAAAGCAGAAGAAAAGGGAATGGAAAGGATGAGACCTAGTTGAGTGATAAGAGAGTAAGTGTCTTGACATTATAAGTTCTGTGAACTTATGGCTCCAGAATTCTGATGCAACCTTGTGGGAAACTAAATTTGAATGAACTCAGATTACGTCTCTGCCACCCAGTAGCATGGGAACTCACAATATAAATTGAATTCAGTAGTAGAAAATATAAAGAAATAAAAATTTCTCATATTGTCAACTGAGGCTCAAACTCCTTATACAAACAAGCTGTTTTGGACATATTAATAGAAGTGGAGTAGGCATTGATTGTGAATTGCTACATGAACACATTCTATCTTGTACAGATCAGAACACACATAAATACTGTTCAAACATGGGAATCAAATTTGCAAAAGAGTATTAGCAAATTGGAGCCTGATGAGCATGGAAAGAGAATAACAATCATGCAGCATGAGAAACAGTACAAGGATCTGGGATCCTTAGGTGAGAAGCTAGCAGTTATTTAGTGGTATTCAAGGAGAATATTGAAGGCCAAAGGTGGAATGACTGCTAACCTTTATATGTCACTTACTGTCTTCCAGACACTGTCCCAAGCATTGACATGAGTTAACTCTTTTCACACTGACCCAGAACGTAGATACCTATTATTATGACTATTTACCAGCTGAAGAAATGAAGGTGTAGAGAAGTTAAATAATTCACCTAAGCTCATATAGCTGATGAGTGGTAGAGCCAGGATTCAAACTTACTTTTTGTTTTAGGGTTCTGAATTAGTGTAACAAAGACTTCTTCACAGTTAGGGCTGTTCAGAAAGGGAATGCTGGCCTCAGAAGCAGTGACTTACTTTACTGGGAATGTGTTGGGCAAGTGTCATGGATGGTACAGACAGATTTGAGATTTCTGCTGGAGATGGATGTTAGGTAGAATGATGTGAGGTCTCTGATTTTGAACTTCTAGGAGATCATTTTTTTGTGACATTTTATTTGTTAGTTAAAAATTTTTGAAATTTGGTTTAAAATAGTTTCTCCCCTTTAGGTGGCATGTGAGATGTGCGCAAGAAAAATACTGCAGTAAAACTCTATCTTAGGTTATAGAGCATTCATTCTCTGTACAAGATCTTAATTGGAAGTATCACACTAAAAAAAAATAGCAGACTTTAGTAAGGAAAAATATTTTATTTATGTAGCTACAGATCTAACTGGAAGGGTTTATTAAAATTATTTTCATTCTTCTTTTATATTCTGGTGTGCACATGGTGTGTGTGTGTGTGTGTGTGTGTGTGTGTGTGTATGTGTGTGTGTGTGTCTTTATCTCTTAATTGTTGATTGTGTTGGCTGAATTTCTTGGGATTGGTTTTCCCTGCATAGCTTGGCATTTGTGTTAGAGAGCTCATTTTGGGTGGGCTTCCACCCACCCTCCTTTTTCCAATCTGTGCTCATTCCTGTCTGTCTGAAATACCTGGAATTATCATGGCGAATTCAGCCTTCTTTTCCACTATAATATTGTGAATGTCACATTTGGTGGCCCATAACAACCTATCACTTAGGAAAGTGAAGAATTTACAGTACTTTCAGAATGCATTGAGGAAGTGGATATGTATCAGATGAACCTAGATTGCAGCTTATTTTACACATACACTGACTTTTTCAAGTGTGTAATAACATAAAAATCAAGAGAAGATCATACTTTGGTTCAGGCTGAACTTTATCAAAAGTGGTTTACCATTGTGGAATATCTCATGCTGACAGTTATTGAATTTATGCTTTTGAGTTGTCAACACCACAGACAATCCACTGGTCTGAATTTGTAGCTATTTTGTTCATGTTGATTGCTACACAGAGTTGCAAATATCTAACAATTTCACTATACCTTTTAGTGTGACTGTACCAAGCTTTTACATTTTGAAATTATAAATTTCTGGCTGGGCACGGTGACTCACACCTATAATCCCAGCACTTTGGGAGGCTGAGGCCGGTGGATCATGAGGTCTGGAGTTCAAGACCAGCCTGGCCAAGATGGGAAACCTCATCTCTACTAAAAGTACAAAAAAAAAAAAAAATTAGCCTGGCACAGTGGCAGGTGCCTGTAATCTCAGCTACTCAGGAGGCTGACGCAGGAGAATCATTTGACATCCAGGAGGTGGAAGTTGCAGTGAGCTGAGATAGAATCACTGCACTCTAGCCTAGGTGACAGAGCAAGACTCCATCTCAGAATAAATAAATAAACAAATTTCATTCTGTTTCTCCTTTATATTAAAGTCAGAAGATTATATTGATTTTTAAAATTCTGTGTATGGGTAGGTTAAATTGTTATAAATTTCATTCAGAATAGAACACAAGGCATTAGAAAATATTTATTATAAAATGGAGGTTTGGAGACTTATAGAGCTTTCATTTTAAGTTTCTATTACCTCTAAAGCCTGAAAATGAAACCAGGCCAAAACCTCCCAATTTTAAAACCAGAGGCTTCCTTGAATCTTGACTCAGGTTTGCTAAAAGTGGTGGGAGGAAGGGTTTCTGTGGAGGGCAGTATGAAGCAACTATCTCGTTTAGGAAAACCCATTATGATAATAAAACTTTACTTCCTCAGAATATTTTGAAACTTTCTCTTTACATAGACATGCTCTAAAGAGCAAATTAAATAAGAAACAAATGACCTGATAAGACTACTACTGTGCTGATACGCATTTCCACTGAAGTATGTGTAACTTTTATCCTTCCCTAATTTTTTGATCTAGATGATTAAAACCAGAAGACAAATCTAGCTTTAAGAGAGTAGAGATGAGATGAAAAAAAATGACTTTCTAAAACTCAATCTTACTTTGGGCCTGGGGGCATCTTTTCAGTGGGTGTTTTCTTTCTTTTTTTTTTTTTTTTTTATTTCCCTGTGTGGAATATCTTTTGTCTCCTTATCTCCATACTCTCAAATCTTATATTTCTAAAAAAGAAATAGGCAAAAATACTTTATGAAAAAAGACACCAAATCATAAGTAACGATTCACTCTCTCAGATAATAAAATGTGTTATAAAGCTATAGCGGATAAAATAGTGTCAGTGGTAAATAAATAGACACAGATAAAACATATTCCAGAAACAGACTCCAGTATATGAAACTTTTTTATGATAAAAATTATATCAGAAATGACTAGAGAACAATTATTAAATAAAAGATGATTACACGATAGATAAAACTTTGGTGGGAAATTCAATTCTTAGTATGTATTATGCATCAACCTAAATTTAACAAAATTAAAATATTTTTAAATATTAAAAATAGCATAAAAGTAGATAATTAGTGCTATAACCTCAAAGATGGAAACAACGCTATAAGAAAAAAATTAAATGCAAAACTTATGGAGAAAGTCATAAAACATAGGTTGATCAAATTAACTACTTAAAATTTTGTTTTTAATAATGGTAAGATGAGTGCTCACCTTATGCTGGTGCTGTGCTCTCCAGACATTCTGAATGTGCCTCTTCAACAAAGGAACATGGCCAGGAAGTGCAGGATATGTCCTATACAAGGACAAGATAATTAAGAGAATGTCATTCATATTGTAGACAGCTTTAGTATTTTGAACCTTTTAAAATATTTTATTGTAATTTTTTAGGTTTCAAAGATAGGCTGTTTGTATATTTTTTAGGAGAATTCTCTGCCCAATCAACTAGAGTATCATTCATAACTCATGAAGAAAGGAACGAATTCAATAAACAAAAGATTTTATCGATGTAACAATAAACAATGTTTCTAATATTAGAAGCTACTTTTTGTTCATGTACTCCTTAGAAAATACCTTAAGATAAAAAGGGAAAAAATCCCCATTGGTAAAATTTAGCTAAATATTATGTTTCATTTTTTAGTTCATAGCATTTGCCATTTGTTTATTTTACTAAAATGATGCTGTGGCATTTCCAATATAAGTCTAAGGATACTTCCATAGGACATAAATTATGCTATCATATAGCAAGTAACATTCCTTTTCCATTACCACAAAATAATCTTATTACAGCAATTATTTATTGGTAGCTGTGAAAATTTTACCACAAAATGTTAATTGTTAGTAAAGTTTAATGGCTCATTATATAAATATAATTTAAATATATTACTCATTCCAAGATAAATGTACTACATGATCATATTATTTCTGCCCAAATATTTGAAAGATAAGACAATATATCATGATTAGGAAAACTGAAAATGAAAAGTAATTAAACAATAGAATGAGAAAAAATTATTTTAATAATTGGATGCTAGCAGTAAAAAGGACTGGAGACAACTACTCTCCACAGAATTTAATATGTATAGATAATTCATAGCGGGGACAATGGGTGAATTTATTCTCTACTTCCACATCAATGATGGATGAATTCCTTAAAATACACTGAAAGATGAATGAATAAACAAAATGTGATATACACATACAATAACATATTATTCAGCCTGAAAAACGAAGGAACTCCTTTCATTGCCACAACATGGATGAACCTTGAAAACATGCTGAGTGAAATAAGCCAGTCACAAAAAGGCACATACTGTATTATTCCTCTTATATCTAAAGTAGTTCAATTCATAGAAATAGAAAGTAGGATGGTGGTTATTAGGGGTAGGGGAAGAGGGAAACCAGGAGTTGCCATTTAATGGGTATAGAGTTTCAGTTTTGCAAGATGAAAAAGTTCTGGAGATCTGTTTTACAACAGACCCTTTTTGAAATGATTCAACTCATTGTTCATGTGGCCCACAAAACTCCGGGATCTTTAACCGGGATCTTAATCAAAGTGCAAGTACTTCTTATCTTGGGCTTCTTTTTCTTTCTTCTGTTGCCGCTGATAGCTGTAGTCAGCCCTTGCTCTTCAGAGTTTTCCCAGGAGTGAAGAAAATACTGCTATGTGTGTTTACCAAATATCAGAGGACCTTGGCCAAGCGATCCCAGTAGGCACTATTGACTTTTGGCACTGGATAATCCTTTGTTGTGTGAAGGTCCTGTGTATTGCAATATTAAGCACTATCCCTGGCTTCTACCTACAAGATGCTAGTAGCATCAATTCCCAGTTGCAACAATCAAAAACGTCTCCAAATATTGTCAAATGTCCTTGGTGGGGCAAAATTGTCTTAGGGCCGTTGACCTAAAGACATAATTTTTTACAAGTCTCCTACTTCTTAATGACTTGTTTACCTTTTCTTTTTTAGGATGAAGGTGGCAGTGGAATAATGCAGGCAAAAGAGCACCCCAAATGCAATTTCTGTATAGATGGTTTAGTTCCTTGCTTTAGAGTGGCACATGGCATCCTGTAAAACCTCAACTAAACCTGAGAAAGGAAGAGTTGTATTTAACGCCTTGTCCCACATAAAATAATAAAAAATATATAAGTCATACGAGAGATGAGAAAGCACACTAAAATATTAACAGAAATGATCTTTGAGGTGAAATCATTGATTTTTTTTCTTCATTATAATTTTAATATTTTATGCAGTGAATTTGTAGTACACGTTTTAAGATACTTAAAATCAAGACCAAGCAAATCCAGCAATTTCCAAGACCTAACTCAAATATCTCTTCGATGATGCCCTTCAGGTTACCAAACTAACAATATTTTCTTTTTCTTCTGTAACAACAATAACAGCTGACTTATACTGAGTGCTCTAAGGCTGGACATGAATTACCTTATTTAATCTTCATATTCACGTCATTAAATAGAAGTTTTGTTATTCCCGTTTTGCAGACGAAGAAACTAAGCTTATAGAAGTAAATAAGTAGCCTAACTTGCTTAATATTACAAAGCTGTTAAATGGCAGAGCTGTCATTTAAACCTAAGTATGTATTCAGCACATTTCCTGCTTCCCATGGTACTGATCACCAAGCACACAGCTCTTATTCGTGTTTTTAGTCACTTAAACAGTACTAAGACATTTTTCCTTTGTCTACATAATATTCCCCAACTAAATAATAAAGAGCTTTTTTTAAGGGAAAAAGGTATTGAACTTTCATTAAGTACCTTCATCTAGGGGGCACCAAGATAGATGGATTATTGAAACAGTGCCCTTAGTAGAACAAGACAGTGGAGGCTTTCTCTATAAATATAAGGGCAACCCATAGTTTTCACCAAAAGCATTTAACATCACTTTTCAATCAAAATATTGTAAGTCATGAAGATTATCCAACATGTGAACACTAACCTGAAGTTACCTGTTTACACAGATGACCTACTGCCGAAATACTGGTGTCATTTATATTCAAGCAAAAGAAGAGGCAATGAATATGTACCAGGAAGAAGGATATTGCTAGATATACTAAACTGATTTAGGACAAAATTATCATGTAAATTGAGCAGCTTCATTGTACCAACCTATCTGAAATGCATACTCAGTGTAATAGTAATGGTGGAATCCCTGCTGATTAAACGGAAGAGGTCACCTTTGGGGAGGTACAGAACTGAAGGGGATCCCTGCCAAATCACTAGATTTGGCCCACAAAAATCAGGGGTCTTTAACCCGCTGAACACTCAAAGTGCAAGTACTTCTTATCTTGGGCTTCTTTTTCTTTCTTCTGTTGCCAAGCTGCGTCCCACTACATGGTGGGGCTGAGACTGCTCAGATAAGACCAGGCTTGGGGCTCAGTGGCTCAACATCTGGCAGAGTAGTGTGAATAGGCTGCCAGTTTTCGACCCTGTAAGTGAGTAGGTCTGCTAAAAGCAGGGACTAATATGTGTGCCTTGGAAAAGTTCTTTATTTCTATTATTGTGGCCACAATAAGCATATCTAGTCTTTTCGGTTTGAAAAACTTATGAAAACAGCAAAGTTAATGGTAAAATTCAAAGAGAGAAACTTTGCACAAATGGTATTCAAAAATGTGGTTCATGGATCATCAACTGGGAGTTTATTGGATATGCAAATTCTTTCTTTCTTTATTTTTTTTTGAGATGGAGTCTCACTCTGCCACCCAGGCTGGAAAGCAGTGGTGCTATCTTGGCTCACTGCGACCTCTGACTCCCAATTTCAAGTGATACTCTCCTGTCTCAGCCTCCCGAGTAGCTGGGATTACAGGTGTATGCCATCATGCCTGACTAAATTTTTGTATTTTCAGTAGAGACAGGGTTTCACCATATTGGCCAGGTTGGTCTCAAACTCCTGATCTGAAGTAATCTGCCTGCCCTGGCCTCCCAAAGTGCTGGGATTACAGGCATGAGCCACCACACCCAGCCTGGAAATGCAAAGTATTGATCCTCACGCCAGACCCAATTAATGAGAATCCTTGGAGTTGGGATCTAGGAATTTTTGTGTTAACCTACTCTCTAGTGATGCTTCTGCATATTTTAGAGTCACTAGTCTATATCACTCCCACTACATTCATCACTTTCACTACAGAAAAAACTTCAAGAATCCATTTAAAATAAGTTTCTGACATTGTGCTTTCCAAGACAGTAGCCAGTAGCTATAGGTGACTAATGAGCACTTGAAATGTGGCTGGTCCACACAAAGATGTGCTGGAAGTATAAAATCCACATTGGATTTCAAAGACTGAGTATAAAAAAGAAATCAAAATGCCTCATTATTTTTATATTGATTGCATATTGAAATATTAATTCAGATATATTAGATTACATATATTGTGTTAAATAAAACATTAAATTTAATTTCACCTCTGTCTTTTTATGTACTTAAATAAGACCACCAGGACATTTTAATTTACATATAAGGCTTGAATCATGATATTTCTTTTTTTTTTTTTGGGACAGAGTTTCACTACTCTTGTTACCCAGGCTGGAGTGCAATGGCGCGATCTCGGCTCACTGCAACCTCCTCCTCCTGGGTTCAGGCAATTCTCCTGCCTCAGCCTCCTGAGTACCTGGGATTACAGGCACGCGCCACCATGCCCAGCTAATTTTTTGTATTTTTAGTAGAGACGGGGTTTCACCGTGTTGACCAGGATGGTCTCGATCTCTTGACCTCGTGATCCACCCGCCTCGGCCTCCCAAAGTGCTGGGATTACAGGCTTGAGCCACCGCGCCCGGCTGAATCATATGATATTTCTATTGGATAGCACTGTTCTAACTATCCCCTTAAAGTATGACTTACTTTTTAGTCTATATTTTCTAGTTTTAAACTAGCCAAGGCTTTTTAAAAATGATAACAAGAACAGCAGAAATAAAAATTTGTTTTATGTTTAATATATACCAGACTCTGTACTAGCATCCTGCATAGATTATTTCATGTAATCCACACAATCATCACAATAGTTCTATGAAGTAATACTGTTATCCTCACTTTAATAATAAAGAAATTAAGGTTCGAAGAGTTTAAGAAGCTTGTTCAAGGATACCAGGTGGTATGTGACAGACACAGAATTCAACTTAGGGCCATCTGACTTCAGAGCCCATACTTTTATATATTTCTCTGTACATTTTCTCCTTGTTATGCAATTAGCTGAAAAAAAAGTTATTTATTTTTGATGACATTTCTGTACAAAATGACTGTATTATTAAAGTCTGTATCAAAAAATTATTAAAGAATAACGACA